AAAAAAAAATCAAAATCAAATCAAATTTTGGAAAAGTAAGAATTATTGAGAAAAAATTGAAGAAAAATATTTTTAGAAAAGAAACCAGGATAGATTCACTGGCGCTTATGATGATTTTCGAAAAAAATTACTTTTTTAATTGCCCCTCGTGCACACGCGTATTTCCAATCGCCGGATACTGAACATTCTGTTGCCGGCTACAGATGGCTGTTTTGGCAGCGGATGGTTATTGCCGTTATCCACAAGTGGCCAGCTATTGAATGTCCTATCGCTGGCTATTCACGGCTAACGCCGGCTGCAGAACGTTCTATCGCGGCCATTCGTGGCTATAGCCGGCGATTGAACGTTCTATCGCTGGCCATTCGTGGCTATAACCGGCGATTGAGCCTTCTATCGCCGGCCATTTGTGGCTATAGCCGGCGGTTGAACGTTCCATCGCCGGCCATTCGTGGCTGTAGCCGGCGATTGAGCCTTCTATCGCCGGCCATTCGTGGCGATAGAGCTTTTTATCGCCGGCCATAAGGGCGATAAGAAAATCCTATCGCCAGCTATAAAAGCTATAGAAAATCCTACAGCCGGCCATAAGATTTCTCTATCGCCTTTATGGCTTATTTTTACCAGGGTTGTTTTAAGAACTGAAATAATGTAGGATTCCCTCATAGGTTGCCGTTGCATCTCTGCAAATTTATGCTAACAATAAGTTGACTCTAAACTGTGCGCCTGCATAGGCATACAACTAAACGTGCTTGATGACCGTCTGTATTGCATACATTCAAAATTGAAGGCACTCGTGTTTCTCATGTTCGGCAACTGCAGCCAGCATGCGATGCGCGCCGAGTTTCTGGCGAGATTTTGCATCCATAACAGGAAACGCATTAGTATCAAAGGGTTCCTTTAGCCTTCCTCTTTTCATGGGGTTGGCGCGATTTTGAAGCCGCCGCTGATTTTTATCGGACGTGTATCCTGACACGAATGACACCACACGGCGTAAATGTAGTTATTCAAGCACTACTCTTCAGGCACTTACCTATAAAAGTTGAGCTCGAACTGAGGAGTTGATGACCTATTAATTTAATAATGACGGTGAAACTAGGAAGGCGTATCTTGTCCCACGAGTGTTTCAAATTTTCCTTTTCATTCTATTTTTCGAAAGAATATTGCCAATTATTTCTGAGTGAGTTTTCCGAGCTTGCATTTGAAAGGAGATGAAAAAATCACACAAAATTCCATCCATGATCCTTATAATTGCTCAATGCAGCTTCTCTAAGTAATATGGTAGGAAATCAGACGTATATTCGCGAGATGAAAATACCTGTTCCTCTTCTTTCACCTTTGCTAGGGGTAGGTATCTAATTCTCGGAAAGAAGTACGGTTAACTTGTGAATTTTCTTCGACTATTAAATCTGTACTTATCAAGTTTTTTTTTCTTTTTCTTTGTTTTCTCATTAAATGACAATAAAATCAAATAAAAAGAGAAGAGAATTTCTGCAAAAAAATCTCTCATTTAAATTCGCTCTTTCACACCTCGCGAGAATGACCACTCGCGAATAAAGTTTTCTTTTTCATTATTATTATTTTTATTGATTGAATACTTTTTTTTAAAAATAGATTCTGTCTCCTAGTGCTAAATTTTAAGCTTTGTTTTTCGTAGCGTCGTGTGAGGATCTCATTAGTTTGTTATTTGTTACAGCTCAGCGACTAGCGTTGATGGACGTGAAAACCATGGTGATCACCTTGATTTCCGGTTACACTCTTCACAGATGCGCGAAAACCGCTGATCGTCTCGAAATGGATAAAACAACTTTCACTCTCAGTCCAAAAGACCCAGTTTGGTTACGACTGAAAAAGCGACTTTAATTTACGGGAGAAAAATCTCATCGATATCGTCAGCAGCAAATCTTAGTAGAATCGCGGTAAGACGGCCACGCTAAAGTTCGAGTTTTGCATGCGTCGTGTGATTGAAGAGTTCCTAATTTTAGGGCAGTTTTTGTGTTCAGAAAATTTCAAATTTTATGTTCAAGCAACACTTATTAGAAGTGTCTTAAACAAGGCAGTTCTGAAACATTTTTTGGTTGAAAATGAGATTTGAATGATGAAATGAAAAATTGATGGAGCAGTATTTTTGACATCAATGCAAGAGTTTCAAGTTCGCTTGTGGTACCTACTTGAGGTACTATGCTTCATCTGATTTAAAATGTAATTTTCATTAAAAAGGCAAGACTGTTTAACTTCATCTGTGGCACCAGATTGACAGCCAACTTAACTTATTACGTCAGTTTGTATTTAACAAGATTATTTTGTTGGTGATGCATTGTTTTCTATTTTGTCACTCAGTTTTTTGCCGAGACCTTGGGCCAAATTTCGTGAGGCGTTTAGAATAAAGCACAACCGTATTTAAGTTCGGTCTAAAACCCCTGATTGACTAGTGCCGTTGCTTCAATTTAAGTTCATCGACGGCGACGGATCTGTGGCGTGGCGTGAATGATCGCTTATCAATATTTCTCCATTTGAAGCTATGGTAAAGAATCGATTATCAAGGTGTTCGCTGCGAAAATCTTGTTTATCGATCCTTTTCCATAGGTTTGAATGACAGATCAATCGATATATTGCAAAGCACGCCATGCCACTGCGACGGATGTTGTTATTTGGTGCTAAAGCGCCCACGCAATTTGGCTCTTAGTTTATCTACTCAAGGCTTTGTTTTAAAAAAAAAATCTCGCTCCTAGGTTAGCTTGCTTTAAGTACAGTATTTAATTCATGTATCATTTTTGCTGTGCCTTTTTAAATTTGTTGTATTATTAGGTAGATTGTATTATATTTTTTTACTGTAATAAGTTATATTCTTGAATAATTAAAATAATGGTAAGTGAAAACAAGAGTTAGTAAATCTTTTAATTAAAAATCTTAAAAAGGAAATCCAGCAATTTTCAACCCACAAATAAATATCATTAATGTCTTGAATACAGTAACTTGTACAAATTTTAACCGAATAATGTAAAAGATATTAGATTTTTTAAAAAAACTACTTAACCACCGAAGTAAATAAGCATCACCATAAGTATATATGAGAGACCCCCTCGAATGTTAAGCTGGCTACCTTCTGACGTTTAAAAAAATAAATAAACAAAAACCCTATCTGTTTCCTCAATTGGAAGAAAGGTTTGGATGCAATCCAGAGAGGGTTGCAGGATATTACCTCTGCATACAACGTCCGTCTTTTTTTCTTTTTGGCCCCGATAACTCCAAGAATCTAAGATGTCTGAGCCAATCAAAAGTGGGTCCTCTAGTGACCCGTTAAGGTACTCCACTGCGGATAACACGTTTGTATATCCAGAGAGAATAAGATGCAAAAACAAGGTTAAAACGCTTCTTTCAAAATCTGCCGAGCTTCCCTTTTTATTTCAGACATGTTGCGTTTACAGTAATAAAGGATGTGAAAGACCCTCTCGAAACCCTCTTGAAAGATGCTCTTAACACCTGTCGTTTCCGGTTTTGAACCCTGTTTACCCTAAATGGAAAGGAAAAACTGTTTTTTGACACCCCCCCCCCCCATTTTGGAGGTACTAGGTGTCACACTGCGGCTATGGATATGGAGGATTAATTTCAATTCCAACGTCAAAAACAGTTCTACCTGTATTTTCTTAGCTTTAAGATATTAAGAGACGTTGTTAAAGATAGGTTTTCTAACACAGCGATGGATGGTGAGATCTATGAATTTACAAAATATGCTATAACTATGAAGGCAAAATATAAGGAGCTTTTCAAGAGTCCTTACGTTTGGAATAACAACTCAACAACTTGATAACGATGTAGCATGACATGGCACAAAACTGGATGAATAACTATCAGTTGGACGAGTATAATTAATAGTTACAGTTAAATGGTTTTGAGAGAGAACATGGAGGATAGAGTATTGCAGCGTTTATTGCATCTCTTTAATTTGAAGGAGTTACTTACTTTAGGAAATCATGTCAATGGCCCAAGTGCGGAACCACGTATGTACCTTCCTCTAAAACGTTGCAGACCTCCTATCATACTTATTTTTTTTCTTTTGGAAAATAGTGATCATATTCTCTGGACTTCTATGATATTTCTTTTCTGTAGTAGAATATTCCGTAAGAATTGCAAGCTATAAAGTTTGGTCCGTTATCCTTTGGACAAATAAAGTACGAACGTAAATGACAAATCGCAATGAAACACGCAATGAGAGTGTTTTTGGCGATCAGCAAGTGTAACCGGAAATGATGAATAGGTACCTGGTACACCGGGTAAATACTATATTGACACTGTAACTCCGGAATCACAAACTGAATTTGGCAGCTGAATATGGAATTTAACAGTCATCGCACAACAGCTGAAATTTCGAAAATTCGAGTAATTTGCATCCAGATGTGTATCAAATCTGTTCGAATAGTTCAGACAAATCCGACATCATCCGATGGTCGCCAAGAATCTTTGCTGAATTTTGCGCGACACACGCGCAAAATTCAGGCATCGGGACGATGACTTCCACATTTAAGCCACATTCAGATCCCACATTCGTCGTGTGATTGCGGCATCACTTTCGCGCGCAATCAGTGTCTCCGGTCATCGGTTGATGCAACCGGAAATGCTGAATATTTCTGGTAAATACTCTCCTAATGCTGTACTTTTTCGCGTGAAATCATTGAGTGTTCCCGGCAATCAGTTGCTGTAACCGGAAATTCTAAAATTTTTGACGGTGGAAACTCTCTTGACAATGTAACTTTAGCGTGCAATCAGGGAGTATTTCTAGTGCGCAACTGATGTAATCGGAAATTGTGAGTATTTCCGGCAGGTATTCTCGTGGCGTAACTTGGACTACGTTTTTGGGGGATGAGGAAGTAATGATGCATTGGAAAAATATGACGACCTCATTCTGGAATGAGACATTTTTCAGCATTATCGCCAGCTGTAAAGGCTTATAGCTCCGGAGCGATCGCTAACCGGTTTTGAGATCGGGGAGAAAAGTATTGTCGATTCTTCCAACATTTGCCCATTTTGAATGGGACAGGAAAGGGTGAATCCAGGCTTAGAACTTCGCGATTTGGCCACCACGTCGCGCTGCTCAGAATAGCCGTATATAATTGCCAAAATAATAAAAACTGTAATACTTATTCAAGATTGGAGATCCAGGGGATATAGCAACATACTTGAGGAACACTCAGTAAAAAAATCTTCCCAAAATTCCCAAAAATAAAGTCGTAACTACGGCGGAAAGTAATTCCCATTGCGGCAATGGGAGAGAGAGACAGAACATGAGGGATTCGGTTGCGCGCTCGGCCGCCGCGGCTGAGCTGAAAGTTTCAGCCGTACTTTCTCTGCGCTTGTAATTCTAATTGCCAATATTTTTGGCTCAAAAAATCAAGCAAAAAATAATCTATATCTTGTGGATCTACTTTTTGTAAGTTGAACAATATTATTTGAGTAATCATTGAGGGAAAGTGAAATTCTCAGTGGTGACTGGTGGCGCTATCTCTTATCTTGAATTATCCCTAATCGAACCCTGGATTCACCTTAAGTGACTTTATCCGTATGAACCAGGGCAGGTTGTCATTCGCGCCTCGCAGTCGGGTTTCCCTTCTCCCTTCTCCCTTATTTGCGAGATGCAAACGACACTCAGCTAGGTTCCAGTGCGATACTTGCTTCAATGCAAATTTTTCTGCAGGACACAGTGAGTAAGTAGTCGAGACGAGTAAGTTTTTACATGAGATTCGACAACGCTTCTCTAACGAATGCGGCGGAGCGCACAGTGCCCTGAAGCAGCTCCGAGTGCCGTCACCGCTTGTAAATGCGATGTAATGGTAAACAAGTAATAATACAAATCGTAAGTGTTGAGTCCGTAATCTGTTATCATTTGAATGAGCGATCTTGCGAATAAGTCATAGGAGCCTCTCTGTCCTCATCGCATAAAGCGCGAACCAGTATTCCCAAGTCTACATTCCAAACGGCTGCAATTATTACCAGCAGAACACATCAAAAATGGGTAAGTGACTTTTTTTTTTTTTTTGTACGCATGAATATTTCAGCTTTACCTGAATACGGTTGAGCTTTTGCAATTTTTTTTTTTTTTTTTTTTTTTTTTTTTTTTAATTTGCACAATTAACAATCGTGTACAAAAATTCACTTATAGACATTAAAAATGTCTTTTTAAGCTTGGTTAATCTGTGAGAAAAAACTTATCTATAATGCATACATTTTAAAAATAAAAATAAAATTTAAAAAATCTTAAAAATATAACATACTACCTCTGTATAACATACTACCTCTGTATAACATACTACCTCTGGAGCTTTTGCAATAAAACTTACTGAAACAACGCCAAGCGAGAGCATTTTTTCGGGCAGGTATCCATTAAACTTTTTCTGAAATTCGCGTTTTTTTCCTTTCATGTTTAAGCTCACCTCTTGTTATCTACAGTATCTTGAATTTTCCAGAGATTTGAAATTCAATGTATACTTCTGGAACATTAAAAAAAAAATCACCCAATGTGTAAAAAATTCAGCACTTAGCCGTAGTTCATTTTTGCATTGTCAATATCATGAACATATATTGAACTTAGGTACTGAGAGCATTCAAAGGTACTGAACCGAAGCTACTTAAGTAAACAAACCCGTTTAGTCTTCAGTGTATGGTCTTATTTTAATGATGTTTATATGAGTGCGTATCTTTGAAAAAATTTACTGTAAGTATACATTCATCTCTTACGCAGTCTTAGAGCTAAAGGGATCCGCTCTAGAATTGCGAACGTCTCGCTTCCATCTAATACGTTAAAATGAGGATCGATGCAGGTGGAGAAACAGCGTAAATGGAAAGATAGGTTTTCGTGAAAATACTCTTAAAATATATTATTCCTGTGAAAGGAAGGTTACCTCTGAGGAGACAAATTTCCACATTCCGCTCAAAGGAGGTAGGGTTACAAAATTGGGTATGATAAAATTACCAGCAAACCGGCGTAACTGCAGCCGTCACGCGCGTGTCTCTTGGCTCTACCTAGCTTTTCAGATGCAGAGGATACAAAATAGAAAAATGAACTTCGCTTCCATTACCTACTTAAACGAAACTAATAATTATAGATGCAGAAGAATAAATCCTTGGTGGGGCGCCAGCGTGCGTATTTTCTGAACGAGTTACATCATATGGAGAGCCTTTAATGAATAATAGCTTCGACGAAAGACGTCGCGTTGCGCCGCATGCTAATCTCAAGCCTCCTCTGATCTGCCATCCTTCCTGATCAAACCTCCGCGCTTCTTCTGTATTTCGCGTTTTAAGACTCGAATATATTGGTGGTAATGACTTTTATGTCATGCAACCTGTTAAAGCCTCATCGAAATGTATATGGGGAGCTGATGAGCATTGCGGCGTGGCATGACGGAAGATAAAAAGGATGCTGCCGTCTGACTTTTTGGAACTCCTCCTACCGTAAATTTTATCATCTTATATTCTTCCCAAAAGCCCCTCCCGCTTTACCACTAGCAGCACATTTGGACCGAGTTCATCAGAAAGGAACCAACCCACATTATGTTGAAACTGAGAAAAAGAGGTTTGAAGTTGAATTCCTGCATAAGGCTCAATGTAGAAAAATAACTTCAACCCCTCTTTTCACAAACTAATTTCTGTTTTTCAACTTTCAATTTTTGACAGGAGAAAATATACGGCTAGTGGAACTCGAAAACATTCCTAACTCAATTTTTTATAAAATGAGGGTTGGTTCCTTTCTGATAAACTCGGTCCATTTAATGAATGAAGGGTATTAAAGACGAGAGATTTTTGTGATTTTAGAAGGGGAAAAATGTCACAGCTTTAAAATTACCTGTAGAACCTTAAGGGTGAAATTTCAAAAGCGCGAATGAAAATTCGAAGCAGAGACATTTTTTCTACGAGTTTTGGATCCTGCCTCACCGGGCTCTGAAGTGACCGTAAGTCGGTGAATATTTCTGACTGGACTTCTTTTTAACTCTTCCGTGAAAAAGAATATGTTAGAATACGCGTTCGAAAATTTTTCCTTTACGTGTTCTTAAAGGGCAGGAAGTGCAGAGCCGCAGACCTTATTTTAGAAGGTCAACTTGATGATACATTTAAACAATTTAAGCATTTTTCAGAAAATTGACACTGTTTCGATGAAAATCATTTATAGTTTACTTCATTGGCGCGATGGACAACGCTGGAGTTGTGTTAAGGTGTGAGAGAAACAAGCAAAGCAATGAGCACCAAGCGAATTTCTGTACAACACCTGGATACAACTATTCGAGCTCCATGGATGTCTGTGTTGCATAAGCACGGAATTTAAGGCGTTTCCACTCCGCAGACACTCATCGCAGCGGGTTGTACTGCGTCCAAAATGGCAGAGCGCCTTCTATTCGTCGTCTTCATTTCAAATCCATCATTTATATCGAAATGTTGAAAAAAATACATATCGACGGTGTAAGTCCGTAACCACGTATCTCGCTTGCGGTGTTCGAAAATCTCCACCTCTATGTTATTTTTTTAACGGAGAACGAATTGACATCATTCCTCGAAGCTTTTCAGAATTTTTCGCACAGAGAAAACAAGTCACGGCAGTTTAAAGCATTGCAGTTGAATCGTTTTCCGTTTAAAAATAGTAAAGTATGACAGGAAGTCTGCTACATCGCAAAACGAGATACGTGGTTGCTGACTGACACCGTCGATGTAGAATGTGAGCACTTTTTCTACTTTACTTTTGATAAAGCGATGTGCTGACCATGATTTGCAGAGCAACTGTTTGTGTTTAAGAGGTATGCTAGTACCTACTTCAAACAAACGGATGCATTTTGCAATTTGGAACTATAAATTCTGGTTCTTCTGGAAAAACACTTATGCACGTAGGGAAACTAATGGCACATCCATTGTTTTTAAAGCGGGCTAGAATTTATACTTCCAAATTGCAAAATGTAGTCCAAATATAAAACATTGAAGGCGCTCTGTCATTTTGGATCCTCGCAGTTCAGCCCGTCGCCGCGGGTGAAACAGTGAGTGCCGGGAGAGCCAAAACGCCTTCAGTTCCATGCGTATGCAACACATTATCTTTTGAAAAAAGATAGGGGAGGTAGTGCTTCCCTTGCTTACATGCACGCCACGCAACTGCTGATGAGCCCCCAACCTACAGATCGTCGCCCCTCTGGCGTAAGGGCGTATCTCAATATCCACGTAAAGCCGTGTTTTACATAAAAATCTGTGATTTCTGGGGCTCATCCGGAAATCCAGATACGTTCTTCCCTTATGCCAGAGGAGCGACGAGATGTACAGGGTTCTTTTATCATTAATCTTCGCTGGACTTGCTTGACTGCAGAATTTAGATATGCATCATCTGTAAAATAGTATTAGAATTCTATCACTGATCGCCTTTTTTCGCATAGGGAGCCTGGTGGAGCTGCTATCGAGTTTCGGCTCGCCATCGCTAAATTCGGTCCTAATTGTTGCGAGCGTGGGGCTGTTGGCGTGGTACTACCTGGAAGACAAGGTTGCCTACTGGTCGAAGCGCGGAGTGCCCAACGTCCCAGCCTCGAAGTGCATCGCGCAGACTCTTACCTTTCTCGCTGGACGAAAAACGATGAACGAAATTTTCAAAGAGCAGTACCAACTCCTAGAAGGGCAAAAGTACGGAGGCACTTTCCAGGGACTTTATCCGTCAATCCTCGTGCGAGACCCGGCTATGATCAAGGAGTGGCTCGTCAAGAGCTTCTCGAGTTTCCATGACAGGGCGCCCGAACCAGACGAAAACGTTGACAAACTTGCGGGGAACCTCTTCCAACTCACCGGGGACAGGTGGCGAACGGTGGGACCCATAATTTGCAAATGCTTAATCTAAGTATTACTTACACTTATATGTCACAAACCTAATGCATCGCGATGTATTTTGAGGATACTCGTACCTATCATTCTATTACACACATTTTCAGGCGTTACCGCACGCACTCTTTTATAAGACTTTCGTACAGGTTTTTTTCTAAAACCTTTCAGTTTTTAAGATTTACTTATCGACGGTGTAAGTCGGCAATCACATAACTCGTTTGCGGTGTCTGAAAATCTCCGCCTCTATGTTATTTTTTTGAAGGAGAACAAATTGACATCATTCCTTGAAATTTATACAGAATTTTCTTCGCACAGAGAAGAAAAATCACGGCAGTTTTAAAGAATTACCGTTGAGTAGTTTTCCGTTTAAAAAATAAAGTATGACAGGAAGTCTGCGACGTCGCAAACCGAGTTATGTGATTGCCGACTTACACCGTCGTTATACTATATTTCGGAAGTTTTAACCGTAATTTTGACACTTTTAGCTGTACACAATTTTAACTAAAATGTTTTCGTTGCTACGCATCTTATCGTGCGCTATGATAGACGGTAAAAGACGGTGTGCATAACATCAAACTTGCTTCCTAATAACAGCCATCTTGTTTTGTTTATTTACGGCCGTAAGAACATCCTAAACAAACAACAACGTCGTGTCAGCCTATTTTCTTGCGACCAATGAAAACGTGGCACAGAAATGACCATACTTTGTCTATGAAGGTACGCTAACTTTACCTACCTTTTCCCGGGAAATACTCGCCAGAAAAGTCCACAGATTTCCCCTCAAAACGTTCCTTTTTCAAGTTTCCTCGTGGAATTTTCAGGTACGGCACAAATTGTCACCAGCGTTCAGTTCGGCCAAGCTGAAAATCATGTACGAGACGCTGAAAGACTGTGCCGAAGAGTGCAATGCCCACTTGGAGGCGCGGTGCGCGAGCAAGGGTGAAACAGAGATCGACATCAAGGACTTCGTAAGCAACTATACAATGGACGTTATAGGAGCCTGTGCCATGGGTATCAAGTGCAACGCAGTCCGAGATCCGGAAAACTGCGAGATGAAGAAGGTAATTCTCCGAGTCCATAACGTTAAAGACTATACCAATCATACGTAAATAACAGTGTGGGAATAGAGAGCCATTTTCTGTTCCAGGGAAAGCTTATGGTCCGTCATTGACAATACTCAACCTGCGGATTACTGAAACTGATAGACGAAGCTATAGACAAAGAAAACATAGGGAGTATGAAGCGATCCCATTGGTTGAAACTGATAGTCTTTACAGACTTAGAGGGAAAATGATAGACTAACTGTCGGGTCGGGTCCCTTCTCGGTTGCCGTTAGTTAGTCTATTACCTACCTTCTTTGTCCATCTCAACCACCCGCTTCCACCAATAGGATCCCTCCATATCCCTTTTCTTTTCTTTGTCTTTAGCTTATTTGTCTATCAATTTCAATAATCGCGGCCGTCTGAATTGATTGATCCTGTTATATGCTTCCACTCGGAGATGAAGTCCTCTCATTTTCTGCATTAGACACGGAAAAAACAGCTGCGCGCTGAGCCCTAATGATTTAACTGAATGTAAAGCACCTACTACAACAGGCAGGAGGGCTGAGCCCTTCAGTTTATAGGGCTGGACCCTAAAGATGTGGCGGTGGGGCTCAGCACTGCTGCCTGTAGTTGGCGCTATTTTTCCTGCCGTGTGAGGGCTCAGCGTCAAGTTGTTTCTTCTGTGGAACAAAGAAGCCACTCTTGTCAGAGCGAGGTTTCAAACGATCTCCAGATCGTGGTTTTCCCATCATTTAAATTCGTAGGTAAAAGCATATGTTTGGCAAAAACAAAAAAAAATGACTAAACAAATTAATAAAACGTTTTTTAAGGTTAGATTTTGAAGACATTTTTAGGCGTTCTTTATCTTTTGCATTTTCTAATGGACCGGAATCTTCTTTTGGCGAGACCGGAAGGGTTCAGTTTAGGGAAAATCATCTCTTTTTTTCCTTTTTACGGGTCGCGAAAAAATGCGTCGGGTCGGCCTCGGCTACAGCCCTAGGTATACTGAATATCGACGCTGAAACTCCCAAACCACGTATCTCGTTTGAGCTGTTGAAAAATCTCCGCTCCTGTTTTTTTTTTTTTTTTTTTTTTTTTTTTTTTTTTTTTTTTTTAAGGAGAACAGTTCAATCTCAATTCTTGCAGTTTTCATAGAATTTTCTTCGCATAGTGATGAAAAATCATAAAAAATTTTAAGAATTGACATTGGGAAGTTTTGCATATGTATAAAAAATTAAGAATGATAGGAAGTCTGTAACGTCACAAACCATGATACGTTGCTTTGGAATTTCACCGTCGAATTATAGTTGTGAAATGCTTCAGAACATCTGTTGACATTCGATCTGTGGATTGATATGACTCGATTCTAGGTAGTGAAAGAGATGTTCGCAGTTGGCTGGCGATCAATCCTCTTTCAATTGTTGGAGATGATCCATCCCAAACTTCCGGAGTTGCTCAGGATTGTGCCGAGGCAGCCGGCAGTAGAACAATTCCTCATGACTATCACCAAGAACGCGATGGAGATGAAAACAAAGGCCGGGCAATCCACCAGGAAGGACTTCCTCCAGATCCTCATGAACATCAGCAGCTCCGAGAGCGACGTTACTCGGGACTCCAACGAGGACCTTTCGGTCTTGGAGGGCGGTGTCGTCCATGAAGGTATAGCCATGTTCTGAACGATGCACAATGAAGTGACTTTAAAATCAGTTTTAATTTGACTGAGTTTCGCAAACAGTCGTCGATGTGCCGGTATGCAGACAGCACGTCTACAGAAAAAAGGGCTACAAAAAAGAGGGCTATCTTTTTTAGTCTTCAGTCAAAACGTCTACATTAAAGTGCCTACTAAAATTATGCCTACAGTCAAATATGTCTACGCTATTAAAATGTATACGGTTTGATTGCCCACTTAGAAAATGTCAAAATATTTATGTTGGCTATAAAATTTATATATAAAATTAGTTAGTTAGTTAGTTAATTTTATTTAACGACGATCAGCATCTAGGGCTATTTACGTCGGGGACTAGGCAATTTTAAATTTTTAAATTTAGTTTCTTGAAGAGTTTTAAAATTTCTGTTACTACCATTGGACTATCTGAACACAAAGGGTGCATATTAAGAGGGAGGGAACTTCGAATTTTGATACGTGTGGCATAGGTTTTAGGGCAAGAAAGTAAAATATGGTCGATTGTAAGGGGGGAGTGTTGACAAAGAGAGCATAAAGGAACTGGAGATTTTGAAATTAAATGAGAATGAGAGAAAAAAGTATGGCCGATTCGCAGTCTCGCAATTTGGACTTCGCAGGTGCGGTGTTTGTTGAAGGAGGTGTTATCATATGGCTTAGGTCTTCTTTGAAGTAAGTTTTTGTCGTTGTTCATCCAGTAGTCTTCCCAGGAATCATTGATGTGAGACTGGAGCGCTTTTTTCAAATCTTGTGGAGGAACGAAATGTGTGTGTAGAGGGGGACTATTTGGATTACAACAAGATTTGGCAATAATATCCGCTGTTATAAAATGTATATAAAATATACATGTTTATACTTATAGGATGAATTCTTCGCGAAATGTGACTCACAATTTTTACGCATCAGCTCCTGCAGCATCCACAGCCTCAAATGAGTTCAACAGTTCAAATGAGAGTCTTATTAGACGACATGAATACGTACTTTGACATTTTTGGAGTAGGCAGTCAAACCGTAGACATTTTAATACCGCAGACACATTTTACTATAGACATTATTTTAATAGGCATTTTCATGTAGACATTTTGACTGTAGACCAAAAAAGGTAGCTCTTTTTTTGTAGCCGTTTTTCTTGTGGACCTACTGTCCGTAAACCGACGTGCCTTAATATGAGAAGTAATTGAATCGGCTAATGCGAAAACGTCCGATGCCCGATACAGTATTCCAGAATTTGAGTGGGCGATTACGTTGTAACTTAAAGACGCAAGATGGTTTAAGACGTTAGGAATGTAGAAAATTGTATTAATTATGTCCTTTAAGTACAATTAAACGTTTACAAAAGAGGTCGATCTTATCCATCAGTGTCGTGGAGCAACAGAAACCATCGTAGTTATTAAACCCTGTATTGGACAACGGACGTTTTCGCATAAGTCAATGCTGGCCTACTACTTTTTGGCCGAAAAACATTAGTAAAAATTCTACTTGCACATTAAAGTACTGTCTCGATGTCGCAGTGAACATTTTGCACTCATATCGGAGCAATTTTCTTTTTCATTTTTAAAAAATGCGATTCAATCCGTAGATATCCCTAAAACTTCCCTAAATCACCCACCATTCACGCGGCTCTTTCTTGGCTGCGATAGCATTGCGCGGATGCCCCCTTTTTCACCTTTTTGAAGGTGCATAGGATTGCGCGAATTTTTCTGATACTGAAAACTCACATGTTTGCGCGAATCTATAGTATAAGCTCCAAGACCTCCTAATTTTGCGAAACTGGTGACGCTTAGTTCCAGCGTTCTACCGGGCCGATTTTCATGATTTTTGCGGCTATCGACGGGCAATTGTCTCTAGATAAGCCAACTCTTTTTAGATTTTCAAAATATGACCCAGGTTTTTTTATATTACGTGGTAAAGTTGCGAATTCTCCCATTTAAACAATGTAAATTTATACTTTTTGTCATAGTTCGTTTGAGCGTTCTACCGGGCCGATTTCCATGATTTTTGCGTAAATCGACAGGTAATAGGCCCTAGATGAGCCCGCTCTAATCAAATTTTGGAAAAAGGACCCAGGTTTTTTAAAATCACGTTATAAAAGTGAGTGAGTTTACAGAATGCTCCGGTACTGCTACCGCTATGCGCGGGAGGATGCGCAGTGGTCGAGGAGGTTGCGCAGTAGCTGTGTAGCCTGCGCATCAGCTCTACACTTATCTACACAAGATTCGCGCCGAAGTCCACACGTCGAGCGGTGGCCGAGTCGTCTAAGACGTCGAATGCATCCACATTAAACTCGGTGTGGGTTCGATTCCCGAATCATGAAAACATTTGTCTGACTATCATTGTTCATTGTTTTACTGCAATATTTCATCAATCAGTCATTCCAAAACGCGTCCTTTTAATTTTAAAGTAATTTTAAGTAAAGTTTAAAATTGAAGTATACCTCATATCGTAATTTTTTAGGGGAAAAATAAAACTAACACTGATAGGAGGGTAAAAATAGGGCCGCGAAGCGGCCCATTGATGGCGCGGAGCGCCTTCAGGGGGTTGGGCCGCGTAGCGGCCAGGGGGCGTAGCCCCCTAGTATTCACTATTTAACGAGGAAGCGTTAATCCTACAGGGAGTTTGCGGTAGATGAAGACATCGCGGTCGCGCGACGACGTGCGAGTCAAGCAGTCACACAGTATTCCTAGAGTCTTGAAGGTGCTGATGTGCGTTTCACGCCAACTCGCCGACCGCACTGCGTTTGGCGCAATGCGAGAAGTATTCATGCAGTCTTGTAGGCGCTATTATGGGATTTAAGCCGACCGCACTATTTTGCGCAAAGCGTTAAGTGTTTCTAGAGTCTTGCAGGCGCTAATATACGTTTATAGCCGGCCGCACTAAGTTCGGCGCGATTATTCGAACTCGCGTTCGAATAATCGCGGCATCTAGTGATAGAGCTTAAAAGGCTCATGCTGTGTTTCGCGGCCGTATGAACATTCCAGCGTTGCCTCGTTTCTCCCAATTAAATATTTTTTCCGAGAGAAGTTAGAAAAGTTCTTTATACCCACGACCTATATTCAATATTTTCACTTCATTCCTGATCAGGAGGTAAGACATCGATGACTTGTCAACAAACTAACCCAAACTGCGTTACCATAAAAATGCGTTTATTTTCCAACCGTTTCCTGTTTTGCCAAACTTCTACCTTAAATTAACTTCGGTTTAAATTCGCGCATTCCTGTAGCAGATGTTAAGGCCTCTATTTGCGCAATCCTTGTTCCTTTTTCGCGCAATCCTCATCTATTTTTTTAGACCTTCCGCGCATTCCGCGACTACCGTCATTCTTTCATGATGTTTGTATCTCTCAGTTTTGAAAAGCATTTGTTTTCAACACTGGGTTTCCTCTCCGAACTTTTTGGTGCTAAGTACTTCATTAAAAACATATTTCAAATGACAGGTCCTATATTTACGGAGAATATAATAGCCGGAGTAGTCACATCATTCCTTTTCGCTGGTCTTGAGCCCGTGTCTGCCATCACCACATTTTGTCTCTACGAGTTGGTCCGTCATCCTGAGATGCAAGAGAGACTTTTCCAAGAGATCCAAAGCGCCAGGAAGGAATCATGCGGCGAAATTAAGTACGAAGATCTCAAGAAGCTCCGCTATTTGGACCAAGTTGTTAATGGTAAGTTATATTATAGTCGAAGGTATCCTTCAAGAAACACCAGCTTTTGCGAACCCTCCCTTCCTCTCTCCTCTTCCACCCCTCCATCTGAATAAGCTATCTATGTCAAGGGAAGGTTCGATGTAAGGATCCATCGCAACGTGCACCATAATAAACATTGATTAGTTCGTATATATAGTAGCTCCTCGTTATAAAGAAAGAGTATTGTACTCACTATTTAGCTCCTCGCTATAAAGAAAGAGTATTGTACTCACTATTTTTTTAATCCTCAGTTTTGTTTGAAAATAAAACATGAGAGGAAATTAGGTAATGCATAGTGTAGTTAGGGTAATTCTGGTTGATAGCATCTATAATCAGTTTTTCTCTTAATAGGTTGATTTTTCGACAAACTTTTCGACGGTGAAACTACCAAACCACGTATCTCGTTTGCGGAGTTTAAAAATCTACGCTCGCATTTTATTTTTTTGAAGTAGACCAAATCAATATCATTCCTTGAAATTTTCACAGAATTTTCTCCGCACGAAGAGGAAAAATCACAGAAATTTTCAAGACTGGACGTTAAGCAGTTTTTCATTTAAAAAATAAAGTATGACAGGAAGTCTGCGACGTCGCAAACCGAGTTACGTGGTTTGGTAGTTTCACCGTCGATTTGTTTTAAATGTACAGGTTTCCTACAATTTTGCAAATTTTTAACAATGGTATGGTGTTCTTGAGATATTAATGTTTTAGCCACCACTGAGGAGACGTTAATGAGATATGTAACTGTAAAGTTCGGATTCTTCGCCCAACATTGTTTTCGGGGCGTGGATCCCTGTAACCTTAGACACGTGAAAAGAAAATTCCGAGACCCCCTCCCTGAAGCGTTACGTATTGTATGGACGACCCCTGAGACCAAAATTTAAATATGTATATTTCCAACCGATACGAGCTTTATTGACTTGTACATGTTATCTTTCAACAAAAACTGCTCAGATATGCGATACGCTCTCTTCTTTGTTTTCGACATTTTTACCCAAACTGATGGGGATCAATGCTCAATTTTTTTACCGGTGTTTTACATTTGACGCAGAGACTTTCCGAAAGTATCCAGTTGCTAGCATCCTTGCTAGAAACTGCACAGAGAATGTTCAAATCTCGGGTGAGTCTGTTGTTGTGGAGAAGGGCGTCAAGGTCTTCATCTCGACGTATGCTCTCCATCGTGACCCGACTTTCTTCCCTGACCCCGATAAGTTCGACCCTGAACGATTTTCCGAGGAAAATGTTGATAAAATCATTCCTGGATCATACCTACCTTTCGGCGATGGACCTAGATTCTGCATCGGTAAGATTTTTGTTTCTGTATAATACCATAGTGACCAACGGACTATATCTATGAGCTTAGTGGTGGACTGATCGATTATCGATATTTTCCCATTTGAAGCTATGATGAAGAATCGATTATTAAGGTGTTCTTTGCAAACAGCCTGTTTATCGATACTTTATCGCAAAGCACCCCACGCCTCTGGAGCTTAGTATTCAACTTCGAGAAAACTCCTCCTCTCTTTGCAAAGCAATTATTTGGCTCAAAAAGAAAACTTTTTTTAGCCTTTTGCCGGGCTTTATGGTGGTAATGGACCACTAGACAGGGTACGAATTTCAGCATTCTGATACATGTTTCTTAAACAAAATTTCACGTAAAACACGGCGCGCACAACGAAAATTACCGAAATTAACTCCTTACGAAGATATTTAATGATTCTTGATGCGTAAATTCAAACCACCCGCTCACGAAAACTCAACGCTCTACGTGATTCACATCGCGCTAAACGTTATCATGACGGTCTCTGCTATATTAAAATCTGGCAACCTCAATTTTGACGCTTTGGCTCAGCTATAGCAAATTGCTTATAGTTTGAACAACAAATGGTGGGAAATGAACATTGCTCGATTGAGAAGATTGCTGAAACCGTTGTAGTGCACGGTTTGACTCACGTAGAGCTTTGAGTTTCTTGTAAGCGGGCAGTTCAAATTCCTCGTAACCAATGTGAAATAAAAATGTTAATATCTCCATTAGGAGTTGGTTTCAGGAATTTTCGTTGCGCAAATCATATTCTACATGAAATTCTGGTTAAGAAACATGTATCAGAATGCTTAAGTTCGTACCTTGTCTAGTGGTCCATTCTTGTCTATGTACTGCATGAGTCGAGAAAGATCAGATATCGAGGCATTTTTATCTTCTACAGACACTAAGGCACTTCTTGCCCCGTATCCTCTCTGCGAGCACTTTTAGTAACAAGGGTGTTGGGTTTTTTTTTTTTTTTTTTCAATTAAAAAAATATTTCGCTTAAGTGCCACTTTTCCTGAGTGTTCCTGATAAAACGGATGACCCTCAGTGGACAGTGGACTCATAGATTTTAACCAAATGAGCTAGTATTTTCGAGTGTTTTTTAAAATTCAAACACGTTATCTGCTCGTGGTCCAAATGTAAAAACAAAGTGATCCAAAAGTGGTCTAATGCTGAGTTGAAAGTGGCTCGATCCTAGCTAGTGGTTTAGTCAGATCTAACTTTAGAAATGAACTAAGCATTTGCAATCTTAATTTATCATTGTACATCGTAAAGGAGCGTTAAAACCAAACAAATGTATCACCAAACAAGAGACTCTCTTCTGCTCCCCTTGTCTTATCAGGAACTTTAAAGATATTTCCAAATGAAGAGATAGAAACCCCGTTTTGAAAGCAGACGGCTCTTGAGTAGGCACTTGAAATTCCGTTGATATTTTATTGTTCTCAAATGAGTGGTCATTCACTCATCTATGCTTTATCTACACAGGGTTTCCCTGGTTAAACCGCCAGCCGACTGCACAGGGCATAGTACACGAGTCAACGGAAGAGGTTATTCGTAAATATTTTTTTCCCCCAACAAAGTTCTCAGTCGGAGCAGCAGTCCCCTCTCCCCGCACCGTTGAAAACATCATCGTTTTTCTGAATTTTGGCGATGATTTTGGACCAAAACTTGTGAAAAATTGCCATATATATCAATCACCTCAAGAATATATAATTAAAGTAGAATTTCAATGGGTCTTGGCCCTTAGGGTAAGTAACCAAGTCTCTCTTCCCGGTTGACCCTCTGAAATTCTCCTTCCATTTGAGATATCGATATTTTTCAAGCCATGGGAAAATTCAGCACAATAAGGAATGGGAAGTAGTCTTTTTTCACCATTCTTAGTCCACTACTGTAACCAAAATTCAGAAAATCTGATGATGTTTCCGAAAATAAAGGATGGCATATTTTTAGGGGGGAGGAGGGGCTTGAAAAGAAAAAGAAACTTAATGGGAGATAAAAGTCATATTTTGATCTCGCGACATGAATGACACATGTTCCAAGTGTCATTCATGTCGCGACTATTCATCAAGTATGAATGCTTCTTGCCTTAAATATGGTGATATTTGCACTTTGTCATCTGAGTATTATCTTTTGCAGCTCAACGATTGGCGCTGATGGACGTGAAAACTATGGTGATCACCTTGGTGTCCGGTTACACGCTTCACACTTGTTCAAAAACCGTTGATCACATCGAAATGGACCCAAAAGCGTTTACCCTGAACCCAAAAGGCTCAGTATGGCTTCGACTCAAAAAGAGAATTTAAAGCGATAAAGGAGCTTGGAATTGTCGACAGTTGCGATGAGGTTGGGACGAGATCGACGCCAAAAATTGAGTTACCTATAAGTTACCTATATTATACGCGCATATAGAGAAGAAGGACTCTGACGAAAGTGCAATAGTTTGAACAAACTGTTTCAAATGATAAGTCTATGTTTTAATATACATAAATGTTTTTAATTATAATATATTTGATAAAGCTATAAAGTAATATATTTTCTTCAAGTATTTTAATCGTTTATTTTTTAGAACATTTACTAAAATGTTAAAAAAATAAAAAATAAAAGTAAATAAATAAATAAATAAATTGGGCGTTATATACCTTCATCTGTACGTAATTGCGCCACACCAATTCGAGGTAACTGGATCAGCGTCTGCAAAAAGGGCACGCATAATGGGAAATATTTTCAACATCCAACCAAGGAAGAGTTTAAAAATAAAGTAACAATGCAGCTTTTGGCGTGGCTTTGGTGTCGTTGCAAAGATTCAAAACTTAACAAACTAATTAAATGAGATATGATTATAAATTAATGAACAAATGTCGTAAAAAAATTATGCTTAACAACATCATATTGCACCGGAGGGTCATGATTTTATCCAGATTGATTGAGCATCTTTGGAAACTGAAATCCGCTTATTTGCTTGATATTTTCTTCTACCCATTTTTCCACTCGCTTTGAGAGCTCTGAGGAATAGTAATCGCGTGATCCGTCCGTTTTACCTGGAATGATATGGTAATAAACGATGAGACAGTCAAAATAAAATAATAATTCGAAATTAAAAGAACTTTGTGAGTTACAAGCTTTCGTAAATATATTGGGACTCTGTCAGTAATTTTTGATGTCCAGTCGGTGCAGACACTTTATACGAATAAATCGATTTTTTATGGGAATTTTTTAGCAATCGATTATGATGTTTATAGTGAGACCAGTGCAGGTCCTCAGTAGTGCCCCCGGCTTTACCATCTCTACGCTTCCAGGAATTTGACCTATGTTGGTTAATCCTGGCTATAAAAAACCAGTATAGTTTCCTTCGAGTAGGCTACATGAGAAGGCGGGAAATGGGAGGGTAGGCTATTTTCTATTATTTGAGACTTGTGTAAAAGAATCTGAATATTTTGACCAAGAGCAAAGGAATTAAAAAAGGTAAAAAAAAACTGTTCACCTAAGCCTTACGTGTTAAATTATTTAGTAGGAGAATTAATGTTAACATACCTTCTCGAATGAAGAGTCGCGAGTCACCTTGCAGGAATCCTAGTTCTCTCAGTGGGTCAAAGTTGACTGACGAATTAGATCGAAAATTCTTAATGTTTAAATGGCTCAAAAGTTTTTCTGTACCCTCGGGTGAGATTTCTTTCCCCAAGAAGTGACTGATGACCTTAATGGCACCACGCAGATCCTAACAACAGAACGTAAAATGCAAATTACACGTTGAAAATACTAATCTAGAGTGTAATTGCTATTCACTATTCACAATACATTTAAAAAAAAAAAAAAATGGTTAAATTTTACTTAGGATTAGAATTAGTGAGAAATTTTAAAAATTAGGCATTTCAATGAAATGTTGAAATTATTTTTCAAATACGACGACTTAGTTTTTTCAACTTTGATGATAAGAGAATAGTACCTAATTTTCACCAAAATTTTCACCAAGGGCGGTTACCGGAGCTGTGTAATCACAAAAACCTCTATAGTTCCAACATCATAAAAAAGTACAAAATTCGCAAGCAAGAGGGTACTAAGGGTAAATTTAGAGTCAAATATTTTAGATGCGTCCGTACAGAGCATAGTCATTTCATTAGCCGAGATACATATCACTGAGGCCATATATCGTTCTTTTTAAGCGCATCGTATGCTACATGTGAAACTTTTCTTTCAGTTACATCACAAACATCTCAAGTCTGTGCGAAGACCTAAGAAAAATATAATGATAGCTGAAACGTTGAAGAATTTTAGAGAATTGTGATCGGCTGCTTCAATTTATCACGGCTGAACTTACTTTCGTGATATCTTCATAAAATAGGAAACAAACGTTCGGATTGGAGCGTGATTGCCATCCTTCTTTGATGTGAGACCAGTATGGAGCCCACAAAACTGAAAAAAGATGTCTGAATTAGCTCAAAATCACGATTACAAGTTTTTATATTTCATTCTGCCCCAATTACTCCATAGTGAATGACACTTAGCTAGGAAACAAGATAACCTTAAGTTAACTCAACTAGGAAAATAAAGTGTGTGGGAACTCTGTAACTTCTTGACTGAAGTGAACCGATACAGTCCGCGAGATTTTTCGATAACTTAAGTTTCATGATTTGAAAGTATCAGGAAAGATCGTGAACTTCTTCGATGGGAGTGAAAATTACTGTATTTTTCCAAAACACAGGTGTATTGACGCATGGTCTCTTGGCCAAATGATCACACAGAAGGCAGTCTTTACTTATTTTTAGAGTGAGCACAAAATATGCTACGCTTATGGCATCTCGAAAATTTGAAGGAGCCACTTGTCTCACTATAAAATGTATGCTGCCTCGGAGCGTCAAAACCGGTATCGGCGATATCCAACGATTCACTGTGTGAAACTTGGCAGGAACCGCTTGTTGATTGATGAAAAGAACAGAATTTTGGTTTGCGCCGTCACAAAATTTCGAACGGTCTGTCACGTGCAATGAATGCGAGAAAATCAACCGTTTTTATCTAAAAATTCTATCAAAATTATCCATGAGCTATTTCCACCAGAAAGAAAGTCAGTAAATAAATCTTGAAACATCGTAATCGTGGTTTTCCTCCCTTCTTTTTTAGTTTCTAACAACCTTTTTCATTTGCTGAGTGAAAACATAATGATACACGATATGAGATGCATTAGCCTGATACTGTAAAATTGTGTAGAGACACCAGTTTGTGACTTCAACGGATGTAGGTTTTTTAGGGAGCCTGGATTACTGATGCCCATTTGTTTAACGTTTTTAGCTTCACATTACTCTTCCGTGCGGAATACACCATCAAACTTACCGTGGTCGTTTTCAAAAAAATCCCAGAACTGATTGAAATCGCCTTTAAAATCCAAAGTGCGGAAAAACTTGTGTAAATGGAAGTACGAGACGGCAACATCCTTTGGATTCCTTGCAATATAGATCACCTGAAAGTCAAATGAAAATGAGAATCACATGTTTCTGAATGCAATTTTACGCACTACATACAAACGTTGTCTTCCTGACGATTGCAATAATAAGAATTTTAGGTCTATAAGTCATTACTGATTCTCAGTTTTAACCTCTAGAAGAGTTGGAATTGTTGTAAGTTTTTGATCCGTTTTTATTAGTCCTTGACCAAAAATGAATGCATAAATATTTTGGCGCTCGGTAAGAAAGTTGAGAAGTTTCTCAAGAAGTATGCATGCAGAAGTGATAATGACGATTGAAAAGAAACTCTGATTATTTCAATGAAATTTGTCAATTGGACATCATTCACCGCAAATAATCGAAATATTAATGATTAATTGCGTTAATATTTGGCTTTAGATAAGCAAAATGGCAAAGCATACTTCCAGAAATATCGGAGTGAAATCCGGAATGTATCTCATTCCAGAGCCAATTTGCCCTGAAAATCCCTTAAGATATCTATAAGTAATGAAATCCATTTCGTAAAAATAACTTAAGTGCGCAAAAAGTTGATTTCGGTCTGAGAGAGAGGTGCTAACGCCGCAATAAAAATTATGTATTTGCTTGTAACGATATTCTAGCCTAATGCTCGTCTCTGCCTATCTTTTGGAAAGTATGATTTTTTGGGAAAAGACCTTCGTCGAGGATGATTATCTCTTTTAATGTGGAGTCTAAATTGAAAACACCGTGTTCATTCACTTAGTATTTTCTAAAATTTTCATCATGGAGGCCTCAGAATGGGGCCAAATACAGTTAAAATTTCAAAGAATTTCCGAATCCATTCGATGCACCAATTTGAGAGTATTCTTTGCTGAAAGTGAAAAAATAAACGTAATTTTTCGGCAGAAATGAATGGAAAATCTGCGTCATGAAGGCCTCAAAATGCGTCCAATCAGGGTTAAAATTTCAAAAAATTTCAGGAGGAGGCCCCCCAGACCTCCCTTTGGACTGAGGGGTATGGAATACCCCCCAGACTCCCCTTTGGAGTGAGGGATATGGAATACCCCCCAGGGCCCCCGGTGGTAGGGGGGCCAGCCCCCCCCAGCAAAATGACCTGGGTACACTTATGCCCCGTGTATGGTTGTGCAACGTAAAAACACCAAGTGTATGATATGACTTCAAATACCTTGGCGCCACTTTGCAGAAGGTCTTGTGGGAGAAGAGAAAATGGAAGATGCGTCTTTATGAACCTTGGTGATTCTGCTCTCTCGAGAATTTCATAAGCAGGAACACATGCCTCGGCAAGTGCAGTGCTCCTAGTAGTATCATCTCCAGCTTCGGTGAGAAGTTGTTTTTTCATATCATCACAAACAGTTGTGCTGAATCTGTAGTTTAAAAAAGCTGATAAAGAAAATATGATGCACCATTTTAACTTACAACAAGAATGCTTAAATAAAAGAGAAACAAACAAGAGAAGGATTAATGTCATTATTTTAATCGCAAAGTTGGTAGATCATACTGGCAAGATTTTTTTCTGATATCTGTATCAACCGTATTCGAACTTAATTAAAACGAAATAAAATTTCAAGATAATTTTGAAGGCAATGACTTTCACGAACAAATGATAAAGTTCTCATCCGAAAAAAGTATTCAGAGTAGATAAATTGAAACAACATTTCTCAATCTAAGATATAAATAGTTGAAGCTATGGACGAGGTTGCCATCTCTATGAAGTACAGTTCAATTGGATTTCTCATTGATCCAGCCCTCTTTTTGCTTTTTCCCCCAATCTCCCGTTTGGGAAGATTATTGTTTCTCCCGAAACAAAAATCTTGTGGCTTGGCAAAAATAATGAACGAATTTTCGATTTTTCCTGGCTAAATAATTGCACTTCATTTTTTAAAATCTATAATTCTGTTCCAACGGTTGCTAGTTAAGTCCCATAATCATAAATTAATGTTTCAGTTTTTCACGCCCATGAGCCGTGACAGAACTGAGTGCCGCGTTTATGACTGTATGACTCACTCAATGAATGGGAACCGCTCGTACAAGGGTGTAGCTCTGGCCCCTTCGAAGTCTAATCCAGTCGATATGAGCCATATTAGTTCTTGAGTAAGTGTTGTACCTATTTACGGACAGAGAAAATTAATTTAATCAGCTTTAGCGATTTAATTACTCATCCAAACAAAAGTATACCCAATGACAAAATAACAATTAAGTTGCACGTGAAAAAATAAATATCACGTAGTTTAGAACATCTTTAAGCTGCGCATTTATGATACTGTCTCCTCGTCGAAAGTCACATAATCTAACCATAATTTATTCAAGAGCAAATTTATGTCTTACAACCCTTTAGTCACATGCCGTTTTTTTCCATCAGTTTTTTCTGTCATGTCTTAAATTACGAAAAAGACAAGCACTAAAGCGAGCATTTTAAGGTTTTGGAAGGCGTACACTAGTCCCCATTATTATCACTTATGTTATGGTCTTGTATAACTCCGTGCGAACAGTGATTATTTGTGCCTATGGAGAAAGAAGAATATTTACTTAATATGTTTATAGTAGATCACTGGCTCCACCTGCTTTTTCCGTCGTAATTAACTGTTTTTTTTGTTTGTTTTTTTTTTTATTGTGATAGCCAATATTTTGATCCTAGGAACAGTGCTGCATTATTACTATGACCGAAATCATAGGTTCCACGAAATTAACATTGTACCTACGAGTAAAAATAGGTAAAACTTAGAATCTACTATGAGCATTGGAAGAGCTATACGCTTCTTTCTACATCGTATATGCTTCACTTTATTCGACCGATGGTCAACTGTTTTTTTAATAATGAAAAAGTACAAATGTGTATATAAAAGACGATTATACGACGATGAATACGATTTGTGACGGAGCATGTCGATGTTACACGATACTTTTACGAACCTGAGCGGGGAAAAGTAACAATCCACGTATCATCCGGTCGTGGTCGGAATGAGTGAAGTTTCATTGCATCCTCTTCATACTTTTTCGGTAGAAAATACTTATCGGGCCCCACTTCCACGAACCCGCTCCGTTCTCCTCGGAAAAAGCGAGACATCTTCTCATGCAACGTCCTATCTACCTCTCGAATTTCGGCAGGGCCATTCCCCACCTCGTCCGTCATTGTGACACTTCCCACAAGTCCTGAGAGAGTCATTGAGAGGGTTGAAAATAATCCAGAATAAGAAGTATATACGCAAAGAAAATGAAAATAGTTTGACACTTCAAAACCACGATAACGAGTATACGTCTGACGAGTGCTGATAAAGCAAATCCTACGGGAAGAAAGAAATTTAGCCTCTGTGATACATCAAAATATCGTCTTCCTGAAGAGTTCACTATCATTTTACAAAAACGTAATGTGCGTTATGCCGAAGTATTCAAGTGCAAAATATGACAAGATAAGATTGAGTTATTTTGGGGGAAAATACCTACACGCATACCTCACTTAAAGAGGAATACCCGAAAAGAGGTAATTTTTTTTTTTTATCTGTTTTCATTTTTCTTATTTTATCTTATTTCCTATTGTACTTGTATCCAAAGGAAAGCTGAAAGCACCGAGCGTCAAAGTATTATTGTTGACTTGAAACGCAAATGTTCAGTCTTGTAAACAATAAAGTGAGGGTTGTGGCAAATATTCTGAAAATAAGCTCCTGAGTATTTGGACTTTTAACGTATACTTTTAATGTTCATCTGCCGAAAGGCGAATGACGTCATTTTTTGCTTAAAATTTTAAGGAAAGATAACAATAAGCCTTTTCATCCTTGAAAGATACCGGGGGGGGGGGGGTTGTTGTCATGAATGCACAGATTTTCACATGAAGTTCCACAATTAAAGTTCACAGTTTCATATACATGCAAATAAAACTCAAGAAAAGTCGGGGAAATGGAATCAAATGGAGAAGTCAGTAAATTGCTGCACTTACGTTCTTTTAGATTTGATGCGAAAAAATACGAAAGACGCAAGCTTTGGATGCTGTCCGCCTGAGTGCACAACATAAAATGCGCAAGCAACATCGGTCTCGTCTCCTCTTGCTGTCACACCCGATGCTCCGACAGCAAAACTCGGACCGTAATTATAGTAACAATAGTGGTGTACCTGAGAGAAAGTTACATCTTATACAATGCCGCCATATGGCCAATATAAAACAGCCATAGACTCGAGACTCACTGTATCTCTGCCGAAGCATCCACCGATTACAAGGACGTATGTTCATTATGAAGCGAAACAACGTGGAGTCATAGTTTTAAAGGTTAATTTCAACTTATGCATGAAAAGATTCCTCGAGTATATGATTCAAGCTAAGTAAGGTGAAGAATAGCACAATTTTTTGTGAAAAGACGTCACATCTTTAGTGTATTGACGAAAAAAGTTGCAGTGTAGCGCGACAAGTGCATTTACACCCCTTGACCACTAAGAGGTCGGCTGATGCATATTGCAGTAAAGACGGAGAAAAAAACTTCGTGCGTGGGACCCGAAGTTGAGGTCATATGGTTCTCTGAAGTTTTAGGATCTCGCATCCGAAAACTGGAGGACTTCGGGTCAGACGTCTGAAGTACTTAGGTACATACCGAAGGGTTCGGGTCACACATCTGCCGTATCCGGTACATACCTAAGCACTTCAGATGTCTGACCCGAACTTCGGCAGTTGGACCTCAAATTTTTAGATGCGTGATCCGAAAACTTCAGAGATTCTCATATGACCTCAGCTTCAGGTCCCATTGCACGAAGTTTTTTTCTCCGTGCAATAAGGCACCTCAACCTTAAATGAATTTCCGTTGCATTTACATACTTGTGTTTCACCAACTTACCATAGCTTACTTTGCCTCATAGAATTCACATACATATAAACTACTTTTAGACTTTTCCTATTCTAATTTGACGTCATTACGTTCTTAACCCGTAGGTACCCGAAACGCAGAGAAGCTTCCCGTGCGTGAACAAAGCGCACCGTTGAGAATAAGTTTGAGTGACATGAGAGGATCGCGGCGAGAGACGCATAACTTTCTCCAATAAATAGTCTTGCAAATTTTTACGGGAAGGAGGGGGGGGGGTTGTTCCGTGTCGAATCCAACGATATCCGCTCAGTTACTTATCGCAAAAATAATGTTAGCGTATTGCCGTTGCCAAATGTAGTTTGCAGGAGGCTATACGAGCAGTTTATCAATGATGACATGACCCTCCTATTTTTGGTGTATGAACACTCAGAATAGTTTTTTATTTTTGCATAAAAGGTTTATCCATATGAAGTTTTACAATTCTTCTTTCGAGGTACCTACCTTTAAAATTTTGTGACGCTATATACTAGACTATACACCCGTTTCAACCACCATCATACCATCAACTACCATTTCTGGCTCATTTTAGAAACAACATGTTTGCTGTTAGTTTCCTTACACGAATTGGTGCTGCTCAGCAAAGTTTAAGTTCTCCATTGCAAAAATTTATAGTCAAAATGATAATTAATTGCAGTAAAAAAAGGTGAGTTTATTAATGAAAACGTTGAAATAATTTTGCATTGAAATACGACGCTTAATGTGTGGCAATGTATTTCGCTGTTGCGCAGTAATTACTCAATGTTGAAACACAAGCAGGCAATCGCAATGAAAATTTCTTTATTCATTAATCTATTTGAATGTAATTAATTCATTTTGGAATTTCAACGCGGGCAAGAATGACATTTTCATCGTAAATTTTAAATCTCGTTTTATTCTACTTAATCAAACTTTACAAATATGTTCAATGGCCGATATCTAAAAAGACGTCTTTTAGTTTGCAACGTCGCTTCCTTTTATGCTTTTGTACGGAGGTGATCGTTGTGACCTTTTAATGTTTTACGAAAAACTTTAAACAGAGATAGGTGTCCGATGTCCTTTAGTCCGCTTACTTGATTGAACACAGCATTGTGACACAAACTGCATAACCTCGAATTGAAGGCGTTCCAAACCCGATCTTTTTTCAGCAATGTTGCAGTGCAGTGAAGGTGCATGAATGGTGCAGTGCTGGTGAGAACATTAAGTCACCTGGAGAGAGCGAACTAATTGTTACTGGATTTTTAATGTCTTTTTTGTATTAATGTTGATTTGGCAATAAAATCGTTGGTTGAAAAGCTGTTGTCGTTAGTCAGGGCTGATTTTTAACTGAAGTCAGTATATTCACGACTGGCATACTCAAAATTTACAAATTCATTCAACTCATTTATTATTAGAGAATAATGTCTTATGAGTTCATCAATTCAAACGTTCTATCTGTCAAAACACTCAGGTCCATTGCACTCTACTTGCATCGCATTACCGAGGTAATTTTGGCCAGATCCAATTAAGGTGTTGCAAAAGAAGATGTTTTTCACCATAGATATTATGGCCAACTGGACTATAAAAATTGGGAGTCGTCATGTCATAAGATGGTCTACCTTTCTATTCTACGTTTAAGTCTCCAAGCTTTCCTGCGTTTTTCCAGACTCGTTAAAAGTATTGAGAAATAGAATGTTTCTCACCATGGCTGTCACGGACGCCTGGACTGGACGAATAGAGAGTGACTATTGTCATGAAATGGTTTACTTTTCTACTCTGCGTTTAAGTCTTCAAGCTTTCCTGTGTGCTTCCCGACTCGATAAAAAGACTTTTTATTGATATTATTTTTGACTTATTAAATTCACAATTAATCTGTTTCAAATTACAGGGCAAAATTTTACCAAACTTGAATTTTTGATACCTAATACACAAAATTAATGAGGCGAGTCTAGAATAGAAGATAACATTATTTGTCCACTTGTGATGCCGGCCCATTGCAAGTGCTCAACTTCTGACCTATTGTATCCTACCTATTTAATCAGACTTTTTTCCTCCGGAAGTAAGAGAGTCGGGAGTGAAAAACTCTGTCCAAAAAAAGCACAGTCTCTTCCGGAAATCTAATTATTTTCCCTTTTATCCATTGCGCTTAATACTTGGTTTGGAGCTAGGAAGTATCACATAAAACGTTTTATGTAAACATCTGAACAAATGAGATTTAATTAGTGAAAAGTGAGATGAAAACGATGCTGCCAGGAAGACGTTCATGGGAAGTGAGGAGGACCAAAACTCAGCTATTTGGTGAGGCCTAATCGTGGGAATGTCCGACGTAGGTCTCCAATTTGAATAGAATCAGGCCTATTTCGCGATGTCTTTGCTCTTCCTTGAGCCAGAGTATCAACGTTGTCATTCTATACTTTCATATGTGCTTTAGACCTGCTCAATTGACACAGCTTGACTGTTGTGATCCGAGGAAAAAAAAATCTCAAAAAACAGCGAGACCCTTATAGTATGAACGAAATTAACACCTTTCAATCAGAAAGATATTATTTGTAATTTCAATTTTAAATATATTTGAGTCTCCATCGGCCAGACCGATAATCAAAAACTGGACGAGGATTTGAAGGAGAATTTAACTCTGCCGAGGTTTTCATTTGTAAGGGTGCACTGTGCAGCGATGATCGTTGAGGATGGTGCGGGCTGCAGGTCCGAGTTTGATGAACACTTTAGTGGAGCCTTTAGGGCCGTGGAACTGTGATCGCTACTTGATGCATAATATGATGACGTCGCTCAGCCTTGCTGAAAATAAGTGAGGGGTCTATATGTATATAATTAATTATGTATATAATTAGGGTGTATTTGGACCCTAATTTGCCCCGAAAGTAGTTTTTAATACTTGTTTTTTTCGTAGCTAATTTATACGGTTTCAACATCCTCTTTTTGATATGTTCATTGGTTATTTGAAATTAAACAAAAAGGGTATAAATAAAAAATTATAAAAAGATACCGCATTTTTTAACAATTTTACTTTTTGTGCAATATCACGCGCCACACGGAGGTACAATGTGTATCATTGGTGAATTGTTTAATCCTACGTTGAAATATAAATACAAATAATAAAAACAACAAATCTTGCTGATGAAAAACATTTGCAAAAAGAGGTTTTCCCTCTGAATGAGAAAATTTCCTGATTCTTCAGAAAATTCGCACACGTCGGCCGTAAAACCAGCTGTCTATCTTTAAAGTAGCGTTAAAAAATATGCATTAAAGTTTATCATCAATTTTTGCGATGCCAAGGCGCGGCGTGCCGCTTGAAAAGTTCAATTGTTCAGAAAACTGGCAACAGTTAATTCTTAGGGTTTTGTTATGCGTGCACTATTTCTACTTCCGTGAGATCCCTGACGTCCTTCCGTTTGTGCGTTAATTTTGCGGTTAGCACCCGAAACAAAGAGGGTCAGCCCGTCAGCTTTGTACTGCTCGCAAAATCGACTCCGAATTAAAGTCGTGAGAAAAATCGCGAGCTCGTCTTCATCTTCTTGTCCAAATCCACCTGCTGAAAGTGAAAATGGAATAGTAAACATCGACTGTTTGAACGTATGCAAATTCAAATTAAGAGTTACAATTCGGGTAATAGAGTTGAAACAATGATTAAACAGAGGGTGGGGCGCGCGGTGAAAGGTCAATAACTGCCCTCACCGAGGCGTGAGAATGTGCCTATAACTATTCCTGCTTCCTCTCTTCGATTTGGGAAAATGGCTATTCCATCGATTTTTTTCTCTTCCTCTCTTTTTTCATTTTAAGGAAGGAGAAGACGGTTTTATTATTCACTGAATGACAGTTTTAAAATTCTAAAGGTGGAAATACAAATCATGTTAGTTTGCTTGTTTGTCTGGTTGATTAAAAGAATAAAACGCTTTTGACTGAAACGATGCATTTATTTAAAAAATGCAGCAGAAAGACGAATTTTTATTATTTGATAAAAAAAAATATATTTTACTTTAAAAGTTAGGTTTGTAATGAGTGAGAGTCAAAAGTGTAATGCTTTGAGGAAATCGTTTTAGAATAGTCGATACATTTTTTTTCTATACGCCCAGAGCAGGACATCGGTTCACAAGTCGACTTTTTGAATGAAAGATAATTTTGTTTTATTGAGTGAATTTTTCCGATAGTTTAAAAAATTATGCAACATCGCAATATTTTTGATGATTTTTCGTAAAGTATTTTTAACGTACGCCCTTTAGGCTCCCTCTAAACTTCACTATAAAATTATCTTAAACTTCGTAGAGCGATTATATCAGAGATG